TTCTTCATTATGCACACACCTGAGAAGGCATCTCGGCCTGGTTGAATGGCTGTTTGATGCTGTGTCTTCACCTCCAGTGGCGCAGACATGCACAATTCGAACTGTACAAATAACAAAAGACATACAATGACACAAGGGATGGAATAACAATGAGCTCTGAGCTGCAGTGGTACAAGAGGGAACATGAACAAAGGCTATAGCACAAAAGGCATTATTGCATTTCAGGTGCCTGGGATAATCCACTCAGCTCAGAGACAATGTTCTGCATATCGTTGGGCTAATTACTGCAGCACAGCCCAATTACAGAGTTGTAGGGATTTACTCTACCTTCAGATACAAGCCAATAGAAAAGCTCCATACTCAAGGGCAGATAGTGCAGTTAAAGAGCAGATGAACTGGGAAAGGGGAGGGGCTCTACAGATCATGCAAATTTTGGTCTTATGTATATTTCAGTGATTCAGGGACAACAAATTCACATTCAATAGGGGTTTTATAAAATGTAAAATGTAGCTTGAATGGGAATATGGTAATAAAATATGACGATATGCTATTTTGGTGAAATTTTGATGGTTAAGCAATTGTTTAATGCAGTGATTCTCAACCACTGTGCTGCGGCACACTAGTGTGCCGTGAGAGATCGTCAGGTGTGCCATGAGAAATTATCCAATATCACTTTTTTTTAAAATAAAAATGTATTCATGATTACCTGCAAATATTATGTCATTGTCGAGTGTCCGTGCTGTAGTACAGTGTAGTATATAATGACTGGCAGAGTGATCTAATATTCGTCCGGGTGGCGACAGGCAGCTAATTGCCTCGTTCCTTTAAATCAGTGGTGCTCAATACGTCGATCGCCAAGGTTGTGTGGGTAGATCGCCGTGTCTCATCTCGGACTCGCGTTTGGACTCGATCTTGTCTCTCACTCAAGGTCTGACACTCAACAAGTGCGATCATATTTCATTACGGCCGCTGCTGTTGGTAATAAACTTGCACAGGTGTGCCAGAGCGTGTGGGGCGTCTCAGTGCAGCCTGTGCGCTCATTTGAAACCCGCGGAGACTCTACGGCACATCACAAACACACACGCCCCCTACGCACGGCTCGTCTGCAACACCGTGTGCCCTCGTGTACCAGCGTGCATCACAGGGCAGATTAAACTTCCTAAACATCCTACCTGTCCATCTGCCTCACGTCAGCACGCCGCCCCTCGCCTTTTCACGCTCTCGCTCCTTCCTGCGTACAGCGAACACAAGCCCCTCCCACAGTGCGCTGATTAGAAGAGCAAGACCAAACGTGGAGCAAAAACTAGTCTAAATTTGTGTTCCAGTGTTGGCACAAAACAGGTCTACAGCATAGAGCAGATCTACAGAACAGACCTACTGCCACATTTGGCTGAAGTTTGTCTAACAAAAGTGCACAAATGCATCTGTGTTTGTCACGATGTGCGTTTGGTTTGGTAAACGTGCAGAGGCTGGTAAATATCACTGCAAAACCAAAAAAGAATGAAACTCCAGTTTGGAACTTTAAAAAACAGGTTTAAAAATCTTCCTTCACTTTTTTCACAGTTTTGTGTAAAGTGCCAGAGGAAGTTCTCTTAAAGAAGGGGTTCTCAAACTGTGGGTCAGGGTCCAAAAAAGGGGCACAGAGTGTTTCAGTGCAGTTTGCTTGGTTTTGTATTAGGTAGATCTTTATGACTTGGTCATTTTGTAAGTAGATCGCATGCTGAAAAAGTGTGAGCACCCCTGCTTTAAAAGAATTAGTAACGCATGTGCCAGTCATGGAAAAGTTTTTAAAATGGACGAATGCGAACTCCGAAATGGGCCCTGGACAAGATTCTGACCCAGAAGAAGAGCTTTTCAAGCTTAACTGCTATAAAAACTAAAAACAGAGAGAGACTGAGAGCTGTTGATGAAGAGCTTTGTGTGTGTCTTTCTTCTATTCCTGCCAGGATATCAGCTTTGTGTTCATCTAAACAGGCGCAGGTCTCACACTGAGTAAGTAGAAATTAATGTAGAAATTATATTGTAATGAAATATACTATATAGTGTCATTTTTGTAACATTTTGGTTAGTGGTGTGCCGCAAGATTTTTTAAATGTAAAAAACGTGCCGTGGCTCAAAAAAGGTTGAGAAACACTGGTTTAATGAAGCACTTTTTTTTTTTTTTTTTTAATGAAGCCACCTATTTGTCAGCCTCCATCATGTTTTGAGTGAGTGACAAATGGATTTAACCAACCACAGTGAAGTGTGAAATTTCAGAAGAATTTAATTTCTTTAATTACATAGCAAAAGAGAAATTAAATTCTGTCAACTGGACAAAAGTTTTTTGATCTAATACATTTCGCAGCTCATCCAAGCTGTTTATTCAGTTCTTCTTGCTATAGTTACCTTTCAAAGACTTTATCATGAAATAACATTTTAGCTTACCTGCCCTAATATGTAACTTTATATTAAGGTCCATAAATAGAAATAATCTTCCTTGTTTCAGGTCTATTGCATAGCAATTTGCATATTTGATTGTTTTACATATTGGCTTGGTGCAGTGCCTTGGCCAGTGCCTCTTATTGCTGGATGAACGCATTATGATTAAGTTGTACAAATTTAATCATAATATTAAGGCAAGGCACTGCATTTGGAAGTATCAATTACTACTGCTCTACTCTATGGGGAGATCAGCATTCTATAGGCAAATATTGATTAATACACATGGGGGGCAGCTAAAATTAATACTGTTAAATGCAAAATTAAGTTGTAATATAGTGAGTTTTAGGGTTTAGTGACTAACTGAAAATATTCAACATTTGTGAATTTACCTTTTGGATATTTCATTCAAAGTACAATGTAATCAATAGGGAAAACTGGCCTTTGCCCCCATCTGGGAGCATGACATCATCATCAGTCTTTGTGCAAATCCCAAACCAGAATCATTACAGCACTTCTCTTCTCTGTCCATTGTCAGTCACATACAGCACAAAGCTCTCTCTGCTCAGTCCCGTTTTGAATATCCACCTCCCTCTCTCAATGCTTTTTTCCAACTGTCAATTCTCATCTGTCATCCTTTGTCAGCTTGCCTCCGACTCTAGCAAGTAAAAGTGTCTGGAAAACGACCCCCCAAAAAATGTGACAAATATATTTGAAATCAGAGGAGACGTTTTATCTTGGGTGAACATCATTAAAAGTTTACATCAATCAAAGTGACAGATATTTAGTTGATTTATGAAGCAAAGCAGTTTATGAACATCTGAAAAAGGGATGCAATCAAAAAGCAATGAGGATGCCTGTACTGATTGTTCAAAGGGGATTTTAGTTTACTCTCTGTGTACAAATATTAGAAATAGTAGAATATAGGCTACTTTACAACATAGGCAATCTGGTACAAAATAATATATTTTTGTCCTGGACCCCTGGACAACACAGTATCACTACTATGTCCAACAAGATACATTTCAAATTCATTATTTTTTTCCTTTTTGTATGTGCATTAGAAAACAGATTGCATGAAGAAATCTAAATCTCATAAAGTAAGCATATTGGGGTCTCTCAAGCCAGTAAAGAGGTGTGATTTGAATCACCTAGACCACCTCTGTCATGTTTTGTAAATCAGCTCCACCACAACACAACTTATTAACTAGCTAGTGTTCAGGCAGTGGTTCAGTGAGGAGAGCAAATTTCACCCAAAGGTCAAAGGTGTGATTTACACTTGGAACCAGTTCTGTCGTTGTGTCCTTAGGCAAGGCACTTCACATACCTTCCTGGAAGGAATGTGGTGAGAGTGGGAATGATTAGTGGTAGTCAAGAGTGGCTGATGGAGCAGATTGGCAGCCTCGCTTCAGTCAGTCCACCCCCAGAGCAGCTGTGACAAGTCTGTAAGGCACATTACAAGTGTGAGGCATAACTGATATGATTATTAATATAAGCATAAGAAACCCCTCGTTTTGACAATGAATTTGACCAATGGACGGTCTATGGTTTGACCACTGCTGATCAATAGTAGCACTTTGGAGCCAAAGTATATTAAAAAAAAAAAAAAAAAAAAAAAATTGTAAAATACAGTCTCCCATTTCATGAAATGGTCCAAATGTGAATCCAAAATGTTCTTTGTGTCGAATAAGCTCACTTCATACAAGACAGTGAAATGTGGATTAGCTCGGTGGCTTTTTGGTGCACCAGAGGAGACTGCCGATAGACATGCCCTCAGCCCCGTGGAAAAGGTGGTGAAAGTGACTTTGTCAATCCATGTAAGGTTCTGCTGAGCACAGCCAAAACACGGAGGCTCCCTCTCCTTGATGATCATGGCTTGGCATATTCGAGCTAACAAGAAAGGAAAAACACGTGGGAGAGAGGACCCATCATGTCAAATGTTGGCATAAAATTTTATAAATATAAACTAGAGACAAGGCTATTAATATGATGTTAACACTAATGCTAATACTAATGACATGATGTTAATATAGGGCTACAATTAAACACTAAAACTGTCTAGTTCTGCAGTAAGTCTGTAGGTTTTTATTACTTACTTTGTTTGATGGAGCCATTTTCAAAGCAAATTCAGAGAGCAGAGTAATTTTAAGCGCAGCGTGGCGGACCCTGAATGTGAGCCCAACGAACGACTTTATCACCATCTAGTGGCAGTATAAACAATAACAGTAGTCAAATCAATGACATCCTGTCTCACAGAAGAACCCAATGGAATTTCTTAATATTCAAGCATTTCACTAGAAGAGATAAACATTTCACTGCAACATAAGAGTCTATTCTTGTTTCTTCAAATGTCTTTTGAAACAAATGATCAAAAGAATATCTGCAAGTATTTACAGTGGTTTATAGAAGTTACTGATATATATACATATATATATATAAATATGAGATATATATATATATATATATATCACACATACAGTATATAGTATATATTGTTTAAATAGCTATAGTATAGCATTATATGGATAGATATATTAACAGTCAGCAACATGTGACAAAAAATATAGAAATTAAGAATTACATATTATTAAACTATTGTATTTATTGGTATATTGTTTCACTTTCTGGACATGATTGTCTTTGAGAGAACAGTACATTAAGTACACATACCATTTAAAGCAGTGCTGCATGGGTAAAGCAAAAATATAATACTGCATGTTCCTGAAACATAACTTAAAATATAAAGTCCTTCATAAATCATTCGAGTACATCCACAGGTCCTTCAAGGCAGCACTTACAAATAAGACTTTTCAATTGTAAACAAATGTTATTAGAAACGTCATCAGTCAGAAAGTACCATTGTATTCAAAGAAATATACATTACATTTTCTTGTTAGGCACATGGGGCTTTGGCAAATCACGCACCCGTTTCTCTGATATTTGTTCAACTAACAATATTGCATAAACAATATACAATGTGTTTTATTGCTCATCCCCTGCTGGTGTTATTTAGCATAACACATTTAAACCAACTAAACAAATGTGCCATAGAAAACCACAAACATAAGGCACAAAAAGTCAGACCAGCTTCATTTCTTCGACTAAAAACAAACCTGAAATTACATTCTTCAGACAAGGCAAAACTGGGCGAGCAGGGACACAAAATATAGGTCACCTTTGTTTTTGACATCCTCGTTAGCACTTCGGAACAGTACCTGTGTAATAATTAGCATTTTTTATTTTTAAAATGGGAAATATAATATGCAGCATTCTTGTAGGTACATTTCTGGATTGCACAATCCATTTTAGGCAAAAGAGCAATACAAATGTCTTGGAGGAAACAGTCTTAGCATTTCAGTGCTGTGGTAATGTCTTTTGTAGAACAAAAACACACACTTAACAATGCCAAATGCCTTGTGGATGAAGACAGTGTAACAGGAAGTAGAATGGCTTTGGGTGTTTATGTGCTACTATTCGCTGCAGCAGAGGCACTTTGAGTAAAGTCAACCCTTACTTGGGTAACAGTCAGATCCAAGACTGGCCACAGATATGGGCCAATGAACAAGAAGCAAAACTGAAAGAGGAAAAAAGAAGAAGGGAGTAGATGGATGAGAGCATCCTGCTTTCTTCACCTCGGAATAGGAGGAAGAGGAGGTGCCCCTCGTTCCTTCTTACCAGACCCTAGAATGAAATGGGAAATAGTTGAAACATAATCATTGAATACATATTTTACAATTAATATGCCTGTAATCTGTTGATTGTCTGATAGATAGAAGTTTCTAGTTTTGTCTGTGTATATATGTATGCAGTGTTGGGGAGCAACAGATTACATGTACCGGAGTTACGTAATCAGAGTACAAATACTGTTTCAGTGAGTGGTAATTGGATTACAGTTACTTTGTTGAAATAGTTTAGACCCCCCAGGTCTAAACTAGATCTTAACCAGGACTAAACCAGGACTAAACCAGGACTAAACCAGGTCTAAACCAGGTCTAAACCAGGACTAAACCAGGACTAAACCAGGACTAAACCAGGTCTAAACCAGGACTAAAAGCACGTCTAAAATAGATCTAAGATAGATCTAAACTAGGTCTAAACCAGATCTAAACCAGGACTAAACCAGGTCTAAACCAGGACTAAACCAGGTCTAAACCAGGACTAAACCCAGGACTAAGATAGTTCTAAGCTAGATCTAAACCAGGTCTAAACCAGGTTTAAAACAGGATTTAACGTGTCTCCTCATCTTCTATCAATAATATTTTTAATTTGGTTCAGTAAAGTCTGGGCTTTTCATTTTCTTTTAGCAGATAAAACATCTCATATTACGATATCCTCACCTTTGCTTCTCTACAGCAAATCAAGTAATCCAAATTATTCAAATTACGTTACTCACTTTAAGTAATTTAATGGATTACGTTACAAACTACATTTTGGTGTATGTAATCTGTCATCTGTAGGGGAATACATTTTAAAAGTAACCTTCCCAACACTGTATGTATGTGACTGACCCCTGGCTTCGTTCTTGGCAAGTTTGCTTGGATAAGTCTTCTGAAAGGGCACATAAGGCTCCGGGTGAGGGAGGTCTGACACTGGGTGGAAAGTGAAACGAGACTCCCATTCATCTGTAAAAGAGTAGAATTAGTACATATTATTTGTAAATGTTCCACTTATACAAATACTAACAATAAAAGACTCACCCTGTATTTGGTTGTGATGAGAGTTTTGAAAACCATTGCCTATTGGAGGAGGAGGTGGTAGGGGCCCTGTTCCGGGTCTGTCTGGAGGAAGAGGTGGTCGACCACCAAGCCCACTTCGAGGAGGTTCTGGCCCAGGACGTCCTACTGGTGGAGGGGCTGCTGACGATCTCCTACTGCCCTCACGGTTGGATGGAGGAGGGGGAGGAAGAGGTCCTTTGAAAAAACAGACAAGGTTAATTTATTTTCATTTGATGTATACTCTACAATATCTAAACATAAAAGACACATGTTTTTTTCCACAAAAAAGTCAACATTTGTTGACTCTCAAATCAAAAACATGGCAGTTACCTGAGCGTATTGAAGACTGGCTCCGTCCCAGAGATGGTGGTCTCTCATTGGGAGGTGGTGGTAGGGGTCCTGGTCGGTGTGGCGGAGCCGAGGAAAGACTGAGGAAAACAAAAAACTATTACCTTTAAGTATTATGTTGCACTAGCAAGTATGATGATAGTAGGACTTACCTGCTGAGAGAGGTGTTCCTCTGGGGCAGGCGTGGAGTGCTGTGGTCATCTCCAACAGGTGGGGTGGGAGGGAGAGGGGGGGGGCCCGGTCGACCTGGGGGCAGTGGAGGTGCTCCGCCTCCAGCAGGAGACCGGGATGATGGTGATGAGGAAACTGGAGAGGGTTTGGAGTTGACAGAAGGGGGAGGAGGAGGAGGAACGTCACGAGGCATAGCAGGACGACTCATACTCGCAGGCGCTGGTGGTGGAGGGGGTCTCTCATCAGGAAATGGGGGCCTCCCGCCTAGAGGTAGTGGTGGACGGGTCCCATTTGACATTGGAGGGGGGGCTGAATGGCCTGTCCTTGATCCCATTGGAGGAGGAGGTGGAAGAGGTCCATGCCTGCCTGGAGGTGGAGCAGGTCCAGAGGAGGAAGTGGGTCTGGGGCTGGCAGGAAGTGAAGGGGGAGGGGGGCCTGGGCGAGAAGAAGGGCTCTGGTTGGGTCTGGGGGTGTTTGGGACCGGAGGAGGCCCACCAGGACTCTCCTGTCTGGGGAAATTAGGCCGGCCTTTGGGGAGCTCAGGGGCATTGTTTCTCAAACCAGAAGGAGCTCCAGGAAGTTTAGGGGGACCACTAGACCCTGCCCCTGACCCAAAAGAGGGACCAGAGGGCCGGCCACCTGGTGGTAGAATAGGTGCTCTACTGGGAGCCGAATCTACCAAACAAAATAATGCATGTATTCAATGTATCACAAGACCAGTACCATTTTACTTAAGATTACATGACATTCACATGACACACAAGGTCATATTCAAATGGAGCTGACAATATTAGAGTGATGGATTTACCAGTGGTGTCTCTGTTTCCTGAAGACCTCAGCTTTGGCATCCCGCCTGCGAAGAGGCCTCCAAGTCCGGCAGGCCCGCCTCCACCAAACCCCCCTCCACCTCCACCTCCGCTACCTCCGGATCCTCCACCACCTCCTGCTTTAGGCTCTAAAAAGGACACAGCAAACAACATTATATTATCTTCATATGAACTTAAGTGATATACTAATACTGATTTATACAGACAACTCCAGACTTACTGTCAAGTGAAGGAGCACTGCGGTCATTGGTGACAGTTTTCTTCAATCTGGCACCTTTGCAAATATCTGTTAAGAGAGCATTCCTTCCATGTTGTTCAGAACGGTTTAGGGTGGGCTTCTCTGTGTTGGCCTAAATCACAAGAAAATGTATGCAACAAATTATGTCATTAAAAACAGAATAAATATATAGTAAACGCTACAATTAAAAATATTGTATAATAAATTAACAAAGCTTTTACGCTGCTCAATTGAGTTATGTCCGCATGGCATAAATGAAAAGCATGTTAATATCAGAACAAATATCTTGCAATATGAATAAAATACTGACCAGAGCCAGTGTGGGAGGGGGTGGAGGCCCAGGGGGAGGTGGAGGAGGCGGGGCTGGCATCTTGTTTTCACCACGTTACTTCACTGGGACAGGATGTTGCACTCTGATGGACACAATGCACACAGTCACTTTGGAATAGTACAGTTAACCACAAATGTGCAAAAATATCACGTGTATCCTTGTTTGGAAGATTGCACACAACATTTCTGTTTATTTTATTTTTATATACTTGATACTTTTCATGCAGAACAGCAATTGCAATATTACTAATTTTGATATACCTCAAATCTCTCAGGACCAATCCAATTTACTTTTATCAAGCAATTGAAAATGTAACATTGGAACACTGTGAGAAAAACATTTCTTGTAACTATAACTAATCTAATAACTTCTATGACTCATATACAGAAGCCAAGTTTTTTTTGTACATTTGTACATTTAGAAAAGGTTTTGGTTTAAATCCGCTCTTGGGTCATTGTGCCAGTGGCAAAAATTTGTTTCAATATGTTTATGTCTATATTTATTTACTAGCAATATATCACACTTCAAAATTTGTTATTGTGACAGGCCTATAAACAAGCTTTATGTTTCCATTGTTTCAATTCAGTGTTCATTAAGTAGTATATTGTTATACTACATTACATTTTAATTAATAAAACACTGACTTTATCAAAAGGCATAATAATGAAGCACTGGAGCTCTGAAAGTCTTTATAGATTGGGTTCATCTATGTACATGTTCTGATTTATTTTGTATTGAGATTTTAATGTAATTCTTAGTGAATTTACCTTTTTGTATATTTCATGGCAAAGTACAATGTAATCAATAGGAAAAACTGTCTCTTGCCGCCCATCTGGGAGTATATCATCACATTCTGGAATCTGAAAACCACCAATTGTGGTATACAAATAAACTTGCTTTGCCTCGCCTATAACAAGGAAGCACCCCCCAAATGTTTTTTGAAACATGAATGCTTGCACATCAAAATCAACGCTCATATCGGAGAGAGCTCTTAATTCATTTTAAACATTCATAAGCATCCTCTAGGGGCCTTGAACTTCCTGTACACCGCTGACAAACAGGAAGTCACCATGCAGCTCCAGTGCCACAGTCATCCGGCCGGAGAGATGATACCTTCTCCTTAGCTGAGCTCTGTGTCTTTATAAGAGGCTAGACGTGAACATAGGCTATAAAAAATTTTTAAGTATGATATATTGGAGAAGAAAATATCGAAGATAAATATAATATTGAAGCTGCCACTGACACAATAACCCTAAAGCAGGATTATCCCCAAAAAAAGATTCTAAATGTACAATAAGGTTAAAAAACATGACGTGCAATAAATAAATTGGTGAAAGAGACACTAATAGATGTTTACTCAACTCTCTATACCTCAAATCATATTCTAGTTCATAAAAATAACAAAAGGTTCCTGTCTAGTACACAGAATTAGTTACAGTACTCACAAAGAATACTGAACCCCAAAATTATTGTTTTTATTATTGTCTATTATATATTGAACAATAAGTTGATATAGTATCTATCATGACAGGTCTAAGCATGATATATTGCTACAGAGACATATTCCAATAAACAATAATATTTTAAATACTTTTTGCCACAAAAGCAGGATAATCCCAGTTATCTTATTTGTAAATATACTGTATCATTAAAAGTCCTGAGCTACAACACATAAGTTGTAGAAGGAGCAGATAATTACATACCTCTATACATAGGCCATGATACAATATGTATCTCAATACAGTGAGCTTTCAATTTGGTACGATTCGATGCAATATATTTCAAATCGATTCGATATGGTTCAATAAAAAATAATGGCTAAATCATGGCAGTGAATATGACAGAAAAGTGAATATGTCAAATGTGTTGCATAAATGAGTTTCCTTCCTCTAAACAAGCAACTAACTCTAGCACAGGAACAAAATAATATTTCAATATTTCAATAATTTGCACACCCGTAATAGAAGTTATTTATTCAACCCTATAGAGCTCAACTCTTACCCTATTACATAACAATGGCAAAAATATCCCCACTTTTGCAAAGGAATTGTAAATGATAACTATTGAGCCCCAAAATATACAGTTCCAGCTTTCATATACTGAACAATGTCCATATAGTAATTATTTTGACATGCCTACATGAACAGTCATTGGACAAGCCTCTCAGTGTGACTGCATGCACTCAAACTAAGCGGTTTGTTTTCACACTTTTCACTTCCTTCCCTTTTGCACCTTTCAGCTTCAGAGTACAGAGTATTTACGAAAATATGTTGACAAAAAAAAAACTCAAATGACACAATTGAAGTGCTACAGTTTTATAGGAATAGGTCAATCATGAGGACTGTGAATATTGTGCAAAAGTTATTAAACATAAAAGGTGCTCTGAAAACTACCATCCAGTGAATAATTAGGTTGAAAATAATGTAGTAGGAGAAAACTATTGGCTATTTTTGTTTTTTAATTGTAGAACTGTTGTAGAAGAAAGTATTAAGGATTAGGTCACAACACAGAAAAATCATGAAAAATTACTGTAATTTTCTTACTTTTATTTTTTACTGTGAAGTTACAACAAGCAGAAGTGCATGCATAGCCATTAATCTAATCTTGGAACAATATTATAAAGTTGTATTTATTTGTCTCCGTCTGTATCTGACACAGACTTTATGAGTGTGGGTCTTTTGAAGGAACAGGCGACCTTAACTACATGTACTGAAATAGGCCCACACGTGTTTCAGTTTAAAAGTGCCCATAAAACAGCTTTCATCCCTCCATTCAACCTTCTGTGCTACACGACCTCATTAGAGCAGCACATCCAACAAATTCTCAGAAGAGAACATGGACTGTGGTCTTCTTAAAGGCAATCCCAGATCAGATCTATGACACTGCTGCTAAACATACAACATAGAATTGCAAACAGCTTTATTTTTGTTGCACTGTTTGTCGTTATTTTTGTTTATTAATTTAAGTCTATTTAGAAAAGGAAAATTTGCATGCACATGCAAGAGCTGTGTTTAAAACTTTTCTTACTAAAACATGCAGTTCAAAGCCAAAATTGCATGATCAAGTACTGCACTTAAAATTTGTATTCTGAATATGTACGTATACGTATTTTCAACACATGTATTCAGTTACATTACATACTAACACTGTGTGAACTTTCAGAACACAACAGATGACTTTAGTTACCTCTTCAAGGCATTATAAAGATACTTTACATGTGACAAAAACTGAGACAAAAAAATCTAAATCTGGCTCTAAGAAAATTGTGCTTTTAATTTTATGGCATGTTATACACCCTAAAATATTGTACTTTTGAAATAATGATGTGAGAAACTGTGTATACATGCTGCAGTTTATAACACATTACATAATATTGGGTTTCAGTCATGTGATTTTTCCTCTTATGAATGCCATTTGGACGTTTGACCAATTTTGAATCGTTAATTGTTACAGCAACGGTTTGTGGGCAAATTAACAGCCTTTTCACTTTTGTGTGATACATGCACCATGCAATACCATTGCATTTACAGTTATCAGAATATTCATTTTTGTCAATATGGCCCTACAAGTTAAATGTCAGTTTCACCTCATGAACATACAGTCAAGTAAGGTTAAATGTGTCTGTAGTGCTGAACTGTGCTGAGTGGCTAAACTAACATCCTGTGGCCTCTCTCATTATATGCACACATTCATACTGCAATATATAGCTGATCACACATGTGGTCTGACTGTGCTTCTGTCAGACTCTCACTCAGCAGTTAATTTTACCATTCTGCCCCTTTTCAGTTCATGTTCGATGATGGACAAATATTGTGCAGCGGAAGAATGCGCAAGGTTATTTCCCCATGTGCATTTCCTGCTATTTGAGCTGACCCCAAAAAGGCATGTAGTTGTTACAAAGAAACTAACCAGGTTGTGTAATTATTTTTGGACTGATATTAGATATTTTTAAACTACCTTTCTATACGAAGGCTTTCAGTTATTGTCATTGTGAATTACAAGATTGTCAGCAGATGATGTCTCTGTCCTTTGAAATCATTTACCCAACCCAACTTCCTGGACCTGAAGACAATTTTATAGTTCTGAGTAGTACTCAAAACAATGATGGAATAACTATGCATGATTTGGATTCACCTGGGCTCACTAGTGATGTCAAATACTACAAACAAAAACAATCTTCAAGGCTGCAGTATATATAAGTCTGTGCACGTTTATGAACATTGCCTTTGCATAGCTCCTCAATTGTTATAATGTGAAATAAGCTGTCAACCAAATTATAGTAGCATAACTTTCAACAGTTTGATACTGGCAGTCATGTGCACTTGTGTGCAGTTGTGCACAGTTGTGTGCAGTTGTGTGCAGTTGTGTGCAGTTGTGTGCATTTGTGTGCAGTTGTGTGAAGCATGTACTCACTCAATCTGCGCCCATAGAAGGATGAGCAGGATGTTGAGTAGGCAGTAGAAGAAGCACCTCAGCTCAGTCCTCATAAAAAGGCAAAAGGTGAAGAGCAGCCACATACATAAACTGGAACACAAAAGCAGAATACCATTAGCCTCCGAGTATATAAAAAGCACTTCTGCTATTCTTTCCACTGCCTTCTATTGAGCATCACGTATGCAAGTCCCTGTTGAGAGCACATACAAACTTTGTATGCAGCACACGACACTTCCTTTTTTCAGTTCCTCAACACTCAGCTGGGCGGGCCCAGAGAGGCACTCAAACAGCCAAGAGCCCAACACATTTGATCTACAGAAAGGTGAACCAGAAGTCTGGCACAGTGTCTTGTAGGTTAAACTTTTAGATGGAAGAGACTTGGAAATACATAGGAAAGAACACTGCATTCCAACAACTAAGTTAGCATCTTAAATATGAATTTGTGGAGAACAAAACAATTGTCTACTTTGTTACTTCACTTGATCCTTGCTCATGTTAGTTGTACTGATAGCAGAATAGTGCTAGTACCAGGATACTGGTCATGGTTGAGAAGCAAGAACAGCAGCATATCTCTGTTGAGCCTATATGATCCAGGAACCGTCATCATAATTTAATGCTCGTTCATTCTGGTAAGGTATTGGGTATAGGCCCACTTTCTTAATCCACTGACCCATTCAGTACCACTGGGGTAGTGGGGCACTACAGAGCTCGGGGATCCATCTCCAGATCTTCATTTAGGTTTTGTAAGGAATATCGCAAAAGATTTTACCCATTTTGCATATTTTGGGTTGAATGGAGAAACCAGAGAAGCAGTCATGGAGAATACAAATAAACTCTGCACAAAAACAGAATCAAACCCCCAACTTTCTTACTGTGAAGTAGAGCCCGAGTGATATATCGGTTGGCCGATATTATAGGCCGATATGGGCAACTGGAGGCATATCGGCTATCGGCCGATATGCTTGCTGATAGGGGCCGATATTTCACATGGGCATGTGATACGTCGTTAAAAATCTTAGACTCTCTACATTATGTTCATTTAATCCAATTTACAGACAGATAAATGTCCAAATATGTGGCTCCACATCAGTATTTATCTACGGAGTCATTTGTCTGTGTGTCCGTACTGTCCCTGAACACACCACAGAGTCGCGTCACTCACGTGTGTTTGTTTAGACCTGCAGACACAGATCCAAACATTGAGATTATTTTCTTTTTACGGACAATCGGTTTGAGTCTGGATTAAAAGGACATTTATTAGTGCAGATTTGTGATGTGAGGAGGAGCCTGTATGAGCGGTGAGTGTTGGAAATATGTCGACTTTGAAGCTAGTTTTGGTCATTTGTTATGGGTTAGCTGCTGTAGCTCCCGCACATAAACAGGCTGTTTTCTATTGGCCTATTGTAAAGTGACTATATTGGCCGTATATTTGTTACTGGACCTGCAATGATATGTAAATGAGCTGTGAATAGACGTGTGAATTATGACATTTGCGCATATAATTAATTACCGCGGAGCGCACGTATTTACGGCTAAAGGCTAATAGCGCTACTTTCTTTACTAGTTATGGGTCCGTCGCGAACGAAATGACTCTTCGAGCCGGCTCTTTGAAGGGAACGACGGGAGCCTGATCCTTATTGGGAGCCGTGTTTTCTCTTTCTCTCACTTTTTTTCTCATCACGCCGTGTGCAGACTCGCGGTTTGACAGCGGCAGCGGCTGAAAACGAAACTTTGAGAAATTTGCGTGTATATAGGTTAAAAAAAAAAAAAACTTAAAAAAAACGAGCATATTTGGCTGTAGTTTAGCATAAAATAAATAAGTCCCGGTTTAGTCCTTTTTCAGTCCTGGTTTAGACCTGGTTCAGTCCTGATTCAGTCCTGCTTTAGACGTGCTTTAGACCTGCTCGCAACAAAACAATCTGAAGAGCCACTTGGGAGCCAAAAGAACCAGCAGCTTTTAGTGAGCCGAGCCAAAAGAGCCGGTTCTCTAAAAAGAACTGGAATACCCATCTCTAGTGTCTAGAATGTGATGCAAAAATGCCATTAAGCCAACCTACTGTCTGTAAATATGATGTAAAGAGGTAGAATAACAATAAATGTTGCCTAAATAAACCCAATTTAAAATCCACCAGAGCCAAACCTAAGTTTTTTAAACAATTCAACATTTACAGTGAATTTTTACATCACTAAATATATATCGGCGATTATATCGGCTATCGGCAGCTCCAACTCTCATTATATCGGTTCCATATCGGCCACAGCAAAATCCATATCGGTCGGACTCTACTGTGAAGCACGAGTCCTAGTCTCTCAGCCACCATCCCACCTGGTCATTCTTTATGCATTACATTTTATTTTTGAATAATAAAAAGTCCAAATGTGTTTCATTTTTACGCAGCTTCATCTGGTGTCAAACTGTCAGTGAATTGTTTCCAGGCCTCTGCTGCAGGACACAACCTCAGCCAGAACAGAGAGGGTTAGCATAGAGCCTTAGCAGCCACTTCCTGTACTCTCCATGTCACACTTCCTGCCTCTCGACACAGTCAGCACTCTCTGGCCCCCTTTCTCTCTCCTCCTGTCCTCCCTCTCTCTCCCCCTCTCTCTCATTCCTCTCTCTCTCTCCTCTTCTCCAGCTGTTTCTCTTTACCAGGACTGGTCTCCAGCAAGGGGAAAATTTGTCTGTGCTCCTTCTGCAGTTATGCAGAAAATAGGACAGTCCTTCTTAAATAGCCAGGAAAACATGCATTCTCACACGATATTACAGGCAAATGGAAACTCAAATATTAACACAACCTACAACAAGTATTTTACCATAATTTCATTCAATGGAAAATATGTTACCAGTAAAAGAATGACTAAGAACAAAAGCCACATGTCAGCTTATGGTCAAATTTAAATAGTTTCCTTTATTGTGGATGAGAAAGTAACCACAGGCATTTAGCACATTTACCATTGTCAGAGCTCAGCAGCTGATGTGGTACAGCAGTACAATACACTGTCAGAATTAGACTGGGTTTGGTTTGTTTGTTAATGTAAATAAGGCTATTGGCAACATTACTAAAAAACATACTGACACAATTTTATGATTTTGCAGATGTGAAAGTCCAAGAAAGAAACAAAAAATTATCAGTGTTGCTCAAGAATAGGGTGGGCATTTGATTTTGATTATTTTTCTATTATTATTATTATTAACCATTAGTTACTGCTGAAAGTTGTCTAAATAATATCATACTTTGTTATCACGATGACAGGCCTAGGTGCAGTGAAACAATGCTGGGACATGAACAGGACCCTCCAGCAGGTCTTGAGTCACGAGAAGTGTAGAGCTAATTCCTGGTGAATTCCATGACCACATCATAGCCAACCCTCTTCACAACACCTACACTTTAAACGGTTTTAAAATGTAAAGGTCAGCGCTGTACAGTCAGTGTAGAGTCAGTGTACAATTATGAATAATGTTCTATTTAGATAGTTACCACATAAGATGTCTTGGTTGTATAGATCAAACTGAATAGAATGGTTATGGTAAGATGTATTGCCTATAAGTGAATTAACGTGTACTGGCAGAATTCTAGGTGAATCAAAGACCCATAAAAAGCTTCAGCACTAAAAATGTAAGTAATTAAAAGACAATTTCATCACCCTGGCCTACTCAACTTGTTTTAAGCACATGAGTATTGCTGACTTCAGGCCGGTCAGGCTATTTATGTCATCATGCCTCACCAGCTCTATGATTCACACAAAATCACTGAAATTATGAAATGTAGTAGAACAACAAACTATCCGGTTAATAATTATACATAATGCTAATGTAAACAATAGTTTATGAAAATACACTCTGATGGAACAAACATTTGTGAATGGGCTGTCACTACTGGCCTGAGTAAAGGCTGAGCTTCTACAATGTTTCTAATGATACTTCATCCACCATTTCCTATTGAACAAGGTCATGTAGGGAAACATGAGGACAAGGCCAGTCCTTTATGCCCTCCAACAGATTTCATTCTGAGAAAGAGTCGCAAAATAGACTTGTAGGATTTTTGTGAAATACATCACAATGTCCACTGTTGATATTGCAACTACACAAATGGATACATTATGTTGCACAGTGTGTCACATGAGCTTTCACAATCCATCACAGAACAGGAAGTCGCCAGACATGCTTTAAAAGGACCCATACTTAACAACAAAAATCATCAGGACAGTGACAAGTTTTCTGCTTAAAGATTAGTTGCTTCTCTGAGGCGTAAGGAATCCCGAGAACTCAAAGCTATAATGAACTAAAACTAGTTTAGTGACAGTGCACAGTTATTAGAAGAATGCACCCAGATCCTGAGCCATCATGTGTCTTTCTTTAAGTGCTTCTTCTCTCAAAAATACAACATTTTTAAAAATCTTAAAAGACTGTCGCAATTGTGTTTCATCCAATCCAAGAAAAACATTTTGATCCTGTTGACATAAATCTAAATGGCAATACCCAACACACTACAATTATATCATTGTTGTCTATAATGTGTCGCACACCACCATCTGGTCTAATTAAACTATTAATCTAATGTAGCCTAAGGTGTTAGTCTAAACCGGATATAGTGCATGAAGTAGGACTAGACATTTTCAATAAAAGCCCAAATCAGATTTTGATTAAATAAACAAATAAAAGAAAGAATGAACCTTGTAGACATTATCTAAGCACAAGTACGCTTTTGTAAGCAGAGTGACCCCAGCCTTTAAATTGTTTCTGCGTAGTCTATGACAGCCATCACACTAATGGCATTCTGTCAAACAGGTTGTGAAAAGATAAAAGTTCCCATTCCTGTGCAGTTCTGGTGCATGTTGTCCAGATGTGCGGACTTTAGAGGAGCGTGTTTTCAGAATTGTTTATACGTGTCCTCATGAGGGGTTCTTGACTATAAAGCAAATCAAACAGCTTCCTACATACATTGGCATACAATGTAAAATTAACTCAAAAGACGCGTTAAAACATGTAAAGAAAGTAGGCTAGTGTTTAGCACAAAGTTATTTGATACAACATTCACGTTCAGCTGTGGCTTAAAGAAAGAACAACCCCTGGCGCTTGTCCAGTCCAAAGCCTCTGCCCCGTGCACTGCGGCGCATTTGCAACCAAATAAAGATATCCTTTGACAAGCAACTGACTGCCAGGCCATTACCGCTACAACAACCATCCACTGTGAGAGATTGACAACTTCATCCCAGATGTTAATGCTTCCTGCTCTTCCCTTCTTAAAGGCCGTGTTGCGCAAACAAAACAGCTGAAAAACTGCTTTGAAATGCGTTAAAAGTGCGTATGTCTTACCCCGTTTCACATGAGCCTCTTGCTTATGGTTATTAATCATGAATCGATCGTCAGGATACAGTGGTTAGCGTGGAGGACTTCTGTGCAGCCAATCGTAAAGTCTCTGCAGAGTCAGAGCAGTGGCAGGGGGCGGGCCACTAAACGGACTCACCCCGAGCAGAGGCGTCACATCCCGGGGGCCGAGCTAAGACCCGAGACGGTTCTGGGCTCGCCTTCCAAATGCCCGCAATAAAGCTTACTTTAGGACAAAATGTGTTCTGCAAATAGAAATAAACCTAATGGATGACAGGTTGTGCTTTTGGTTTTAACAGTAATATGAAGGTGGTGAAATTACCTTCTAGGCTCCTAGGCAATCCCACCACAAGGAATTCCACTCCAGCTGTTTAAACAAGACTCACAAGGCTAGTGCGTAGAACTTTATATAATTTGGCACAACAATTTGGCAGACAACATGTTGATCAAAGAATATCTCTGTGTTGATGTAACTTACTTTATCCAAAGCTGTGGTCTAGGCTTTAAGCAGCTGTGCCTCTTGAGTCTCTCCTTATCCAGGGTATTAGCAGTGATGCAATGTTTACAGATGTGGAACAAGTCAAACACAATAACTTCACTTATTAGTAAACAAAGTGTTGGTGTAAGGAAACGCATTTAGCATATCTCTATGCATTGTAGCGTTGGAAAAAAATACCAACATGAACTTACCCAAAAGTTTAGAATTTACACACACACTAGGACTACAGTGTATATTGTAAAATTTAATTGGTACACGTGCATCCAAGTACATAAATGTATTAATTAATAGACATTTGTGATATTAATATAAAAAGTGAACTAAATACATCTCAAAGTTTAATCACATATAACTAGACTCATCTTTAGACTGTTACCCTAACACACCAAAGGTCGTGAACAGTCACAAGGAGCTACGAACAGTCAACCATCATTTGATTTCCTCTAAAGGAAAAAAATAATGTAGACAATAATCACTCCGATGAATTGACACATCACATTGACACATGAATTGACAACTTGCTCTTAAATGTTTCGTGTGGACAGACACTGGTTGACCACTTCCAACAGCGATGAGTTCTCCAGTGCTGCTGCCACTCTTTCTTTGTCCGCAAGTTGTTTGTTTACTGCATAGGAACAAAAAATTTAAAAGTTATTTTTCTTTCTTCTCAATGCACAGATGTTCACAAGTAAGAAAATATGCAGAAGACTTTGACTTATTTGACTAATGTACCTGCATCCTCTGACGCGTGAGATCCAGGTGTGATATGGACATCAATCTAAACAGAGACAGCAGAAGAAATTCTGATTACTTCATAGAAAGATGTATCCAAGTTGTCTTTATTATAAATTATAATAAAACACAAACTTTAAATCTCTCTGGTAGGGACCGCAGCAGCTTGACCTTAATAGATAATCCAATGAGTGTCGCCATACTACAGTGAGGGATTGTGGGCGTGAACTCAATGCCTACAGTGCTTCCTGCATCATCCACCTGAGTGAGAGAAATGGAGAGAAAACACATATATTTTTCCATAACATCATCAGGTTAGGGTTAGTGATGAGATCATCATATTGTGATGTTTAATACACTTTCACTCCATACTCACTTTTCCAAATACAGGTTTAACCAATAACAGTGCATTGCTGACTTTCAGAGAAAGCAGGAAATGGCTTTAGTTACAAGTTAATGGCAAACCTCGGCGTCATTTTCGATTCTGATTTCAATTTCAACCTTCATATCAAAAAAGTCGCTCAATCCTGTTTTCTCTACCTCCGCACAATTAGCAAAAGTAAAACTATCCTCTCCGGATTTCGAAAAAGTCATCCATGCACTCGTCTTCTCCCGTCTAGACTATTCTAACTCCCTCCTCTCCGGCCTCAACTCTAAATCCATCTCCCGCCTCAAACTGGTTCAAAACGCAGCAGCTCGACTCCTCACTGGGTTTAACACATCACACACATGACCCTGCTTTAGCTTCCCTTCAATACTCCTGGTGTGTTTAGAACTGATTTTAAGATTTTACTGATCAGTTGGTCTTACACCAAGTTACATTTCAGAACTTTTAACCCTGTACGAGCCCTCCCACAGCCTTAGATCCTCCGGCAGGCCCCTGTTAGCTGTTCCAAAATCCAGGCTCCAGATGAAGGGTGATCAAGCCTTTTCAGTCTGGATGCCTCGGCTTGGAATGACCTGCCTGAGGAAATAAGGCTCGCACCATCAGTATGATCTTTTAAATCACTAACACTAACCCTAAAAACACATTTTTATCAGTTAGCCTTCCTTTAACTGGCTTTAGCGTGATTTTATTTCTTATTTGTTTATTTTGATTCTATTTATTTTTATTTATTTATTAAAATTAATTGGATGGTTTGCATCATTGTCTGTTTTTGTATGCTTTTTCTATTGTTCATTGCTGCTTGTACAGCACTTTGTAAACCTTGTTTTTAAAAGTGCTTTATAAATAAAGATGTATTATTCTTTTTATTATAAATAAAATAGTGACTGCAAATCGAAATTGTGACATCGACACTACAAACATCATATTATTTTGTAATATTGCTCAGCCCTGTTCAGAACAGTTACAATGATTTACAAATATCCTTACTTTCACACGCAATTGCTCCACCACATTGAGCTCTTCCAGAGACAGGGGGTGTTCTGGGTCATTGATGGATCTGATCAAATGTAACTTGTAATATTAAAGAAATAACTTTGTAGTTTAAAAAGTTTACATGCAAAAAATAAACAACCATTTATCCAGATCCTGTCATGCATACTATTTAGTGCTACAGTTGAAAATAGTTTTTCAATACAAAACAGTAAAACAGATGAAAAAGCAATGTTGTCCAAAGAGTAAAGGATATCAAATATTTCTCTCTCGTCTATCGGGTCGTGTACGTCTTCGTCCTCCTCCGACGCCGTCAGCAGTCGCTCTCCGGACCGCTGGAATATCACAGGATTTGCGTTTTCTAACCGACTAGACATTTTAGCCGGTTTAAAACTTGATAAATGCGCTAATAATAATAATTTTTAAAAAAAAAAAGGTGAGCAGCAAAATGAACGGAATTTCACAACAAGACCATTTCCGGTGACTGAACTTCTTCTGGCCACATTATAGCTAGCATTATGTCTATACGCGCGAACAGATTCAACACTGCCCCTAGTGGTGAGACCATAGACAGTCTGTCGTTGATACACGTTGTTTACAGTGTTAAAAAAAAGGGGGAAAAAAGCCTATGGTCGAGTTATTGGTTGCTTCTATTATAGACAGAATTTATAAATGCATGATTGTTTAGTGCATTATGTTTTCATATGATATTCGAAACTGTAAATTATAACCACATATGTATAGTCTACGTATGAATCAATTAACTGCAAATAAAAAACCTTATATGAACGTAATAAAAATGCATTTTTTTTTTAAATTATACGTCGTTTAGAATCTGTTGAAATAATGCTTTCTTTTGTGGTTCCGAATTTTGACAGCAGATGGCCTCAGCAGCACATTTCAAACACTGCCATCTATAACTGCTTGTTAGGATTAATAATTGCATTTCTGTTAGTGCGGCTTTTTTATTCTTTCCTGCATATTAGATAAATTTTTTATGGCACAACACAACCATGACAGAAGAAAGACATAATTCTAGATCTATCTTGATAAATTTATTACGTTGCCTTTATTTATTTTTCATCTAATGGAAGTTACAATACAGAAGCATTTGTGCTAACTAGGCTATCAGACAAATTAGTTAACATAGGCTATATAGAACCAACACAAGTATTAAACATCACCTCCCACTCAGAAAAAGCAACTAAGATCTTTGTCTTGGAAGAAAAAAAAAAAAAAGGAAAAAAAAATCAATACTAGCCTTCAAAATTCCCAGCACAGTTTAAAAAGTTTAGTTTCATCACACAGCTTGACCGGTGAGGCCATTTATTTCTGGACCTCAGCTCAGTCAAGCATGGCCAGACAAGACCAAGAGATGTTTATTTTCTAAGTACGTCAGTGTATGTCAGATTCTGAGGAGATCCTTTGACTCTTTCATGTAGCTATGTAGCTCTGTGTTTTATATTGACTCACAAACATTGAAGTAGAAGCGGCCATGTGGGTGGGCACCTCTGAACACATAATACCAGATCGAAAAGCTTTTTGATGTTTTTACTGCAAAATCTTGCTTTTGCCTCTGCCGTGCCATGGATAAACTCCTTGAATTCCCCGAAGGATGTTATGGTCTGTTTTTATAATATATTTTATTTCTTTCATTGTACAACCTGGAGCCACTGGGACTATGGGAATTATCCTTTAAAGCCATAGCTGTGGAGCCTTTGAACAGTCACCTGCTGTCAGATCTTTGTGGGCACCGAGGGCCATTTGAAGACAGACAGGTTTCAGATAAGAAAGGCACAGTTTGCATTCAAAGCTCAAATGTCTGTAACAGTGAAGAGTGAAAGTAAAACGAAGACTATAAATGTGACTAAATTGGTTTGTTATTTCAAATTGTTGACCTCAAGAGTACTTTGTAATCTTTCTCTCAGACCTCAGCATCATTCTGTTTACTATCCTTCCTTAGCACATGTCCAGTGCTCTGAACTTGGCCCCAACTTTTATCTCAAAAACATCTAATATGAGCTGTCTCTGATGTACTCATCCCTAACCCATCTCTATCTCTCAAATAGAAGTTCAACATCTTCAGCTCATGTTATTACGACTGTTAGCCTGTCTCCACACTGTCTAGCCTGTTTTTTTGTTTGTTTGTTTGTTTCACTGATTAAATAAATTAAAGTATAAAACCTTTTACTTGAAAGTGTTTATGTTTCCCATTTTGTTTACTGCAGCTAGGGCATCCTAGGTTAAGCTGCAGTTAAACACTTTATATCATGGAGCACATACACTAGATCTCTTCTTGTCCTCACTGTATAGACACAGAGAAAACTATACAGGCTTTTGCAAAAAGTGCTAGCCTTCCATACCCAATTACTCGTATGCAGCAGTTTGATGGACAGGGCATATTGTTTTACTCTGACTCATTGACTTTAGATAGAAAATGGAGATATTTACAATGTTGCTGTTTAAACTAAGTCATAGATCTCAGAAACAAAGCAGGGCCGGGCATGGTTAGGACTTGGATGGGAGACCACTAGGATATCAGGTGCCACAGAGGGACCAGAGACTAAATAAATGTTGTTGTGCCCTTAGGCAAGACACTTCACCCATATTGCCTAGTAAGAAAGTGATGGTATGAGTGAGTGATGGTTGTGGTCGGAGGGGCCAATGGCGCAGATTGGCAACCATGCTGCGGTCAATCTGCCCCAGGGCAGCTGTGACAAAAATAGCTTACCACTACAGAGTGGGGAGTGAATGAATACTGTAAAGTGCTTTGGGAGAGTTGAAAGGCGCTATATAAATCCAATTATTAATTAATTCAGTAATATTGACAAAAAAATCTAGAGGAGTTAAGAAGGACATTAGCAGATCCAGATAAAAGCTTCATGTTGAATTACTTATCTTTATTCAGCGATAAATCCTTATTTCAATAATGATTTAATATTTATCATACTTAGCCACTCACTACTTGCTCATTAAGTCAGGCCCTTTGGATCAATGACAGCAGTGCTCTGATTGCTATCTCACTCATTGGGCTGAAAAATCACATTCATTAAAATGCTATTGATGATTTAGAATACAACCTTTGGAGCCACACACACTGGCCTTAGGCCTCTATCTTGACAGAGATGCAGAGTTAGTTAACTTTTCAGGCAAAATTGTGCAGATAAGTATTTGTTTTGTCCAAGTGGTCATTTGGTGTGACTTTGTGACATAACTTAAAGATCACATTACACAACTAGAGCAAGTGAGCATTAAGTCATGTTATAGTTTTATTGTTACCTCCTCAAAAACATACCTGGAGTTGTGTGTTGTTTCATTCACACATGTTGAGTAACCCTTTATTATTAGTCTGTCTACATCTCCAAATCTCAAAATTCTCCGTTCCACCTTGTGATGTCATGTAGTGGTAGTTTTCAAGTTACAAGCTACCTTTTACCTTTTGTTGAATAGAAATTAGCAGTTCCAGAGCTAAAATTATATACAAATGATTCACGTGAAGGTGTATGGAGTTTAAAAACACAGTAGAGTATTTCTTGTATTACCACATGATATCACAAGGTGGAGTGTTTTCTGTTTGAGAGAAGAAAGGGAGAATTTGCAAGATTTGTGTGTTAAAAATGTGTAAATGAAGCAAAACACGTCCTCAGGTATGTTTCTGATGTGGAAACAACCCTAGAACAGAGATCAGAAAACAATAGCGTAATATGGACCCTTTAAGGTGGTGTAGCATATTTTAGATGTAGGTCTTGTATGTTTTTTGTTTTCATCGTAACTCTTTGTTTGTCTTAAAGCGAGATCTCAGTTGTAATAAATGTACAATCACCTTGCACCTAGGCGGGGGCACTGCCTGTTTAAAAGTGCCCGACCACACTTCAAACTCACAGTTGGCATGTAAAATACGGACACTATGCATTATGTATTGGTGTCTAGTGGGCATCCATTGTGTGCCTTGCATGCTGTTTTATGTCTTCCAATACAGGTTGAATAATAAAATGTAATGAATTCTGTTTCTTTATGCTCACGCCTCTAGTGTTTTCTTGTAGGTGTTGACATGGGTCGGTTGCAGAAATGGTCTGTGTTTATTGCATCAACTTCATATTTTCATATCGTTTTTGTCACTCTGTTTCTTGGTTGTAGGAACAAAACAAGTGTTGGTTAAGTTTTAATAGCATTTTCAATGAATGTCAGTAATGAGGCAAGTATGGGAGGATTTTGTTAATGAGAATCTCCAACAAAGTGAGGATACAGGATTATAACTAGTGAAACATGGGATTAAAAAGTTACATTTTCTAACAATTGTTGTCGTTCTTAAAGATGCACTATGTAACTTTCTGTTTAGGGGTCTGTCACGTTTCCATGGATATGTCATTGCTCTGCCTAGAATGTTACACAGTATAACATTAAACAGCTCTATTTTACATTTCTTTAATTACAGGTGGTTTTATAGCTTGAAAATATGTTGAAAAACAGGCCTTCAGACTGTGAACAGAGTTGCCTCTCCACAGATCTGACCTAACTTGGGCTTGGTCTCATTTGGTCTCTATGAAAACAGAAAGGGTAGACAAAGCATGTTTAATAGCTAAAATGGGTCAAGTCTGAAAATACACCTGCATTCATTAATGCGTGTCTGCTTAATAAATAACATTTAATTTCAATATTGGATTTTATGGTAATGTATCCATAGGGAAGTGTAAATTTGGTAGCACTCATTGCTATTGCAGAGACTTCATCTTTAGAACTCCATCTATTATACAAACAAGTGGCGCATAGCAAAACAGTATAACATTTCTTCTCTCATTTTTTCAGGGTCATTTTGAAGTCTGGATGAAACAGAATAATGTATTGATTTTTTGCATAGCTTCACAAAAGAGTGTGAACAGGGTAGCTCCACTGAAATAGGGCACAGCGGAGGGATGGAGCACCACCTGCTGAAGTGATTACCATGAACACACAAACCACCTCAAAGTCTTCTTTTCCACACCTGTGACTTTATCTGTCATTGTTTAAACACAGACACATTACATGTGCCACTTCAGTTTGTTTAGTTTGATGACATCATTATCACACAAGCTCATGAAGAGGTTATATTGCTATCAGGGATGCACCAATCCAGCCTTTTCTGTTCTGATACCAATATCTTCTTTTGATCTTTTGGCTTTAAAGGTGCACTGTGTAACTTTTCTGGTCTGAAACTTGTTTGAGTTCATGTAGATCTTGTTTCCTGGAATATTCTACAGTATAGCTTTTAATTTAACTATCTACCTAAAGACAAGCATGCCACTACTAATGTTTCTAATGTTGAGAAGTACAAAATCAGTTTCTTTCATGTTATACTGAGGAACATCCCAGGCAAATAATAACATCACCATGGACATGACCAGACTGTGGAGCCTCAACCAGAAAAGGTACACAGTGTACCTTTAAGTTTCTGTCGATACCCAATATCAGCCTATGCTTGGGCAGAGAGTGAATATATAATTTATTTATCATTTAAAATAAATAC